ATAACCAACAATTTTTATAGGTTTTATGAAGAGCATGATGAAAAAAAAAAGATAAATTAAACTATTATATCTAGTAGCTCCAAACAGATTAACAAGCAATAAAGAAGAAATATATTGCAGATGATGAGACAATTATTTTACAGATAAAATTGAGGAAAAAAAACAAAGACAATTTCACAAATAGATAGTTTTTAAACAACCATGGTTTTGCCAGTAAAAGCATCATCAGGTATTTATCAGGCTTTTGATGGTGCTTATACTGGCAAAACTATGGTCATTAATAAGTGAAGTTTTTGTGAAATGTACAATTGTCTTTGTTTTTTTTCCTCAATTCTGTAATCATAGAGTTACACCCAAGTATCGATGGGTTCAAATATAAATTACAGTAACAAAATTTTCACATTTTATCCCATGGAAACCCTAATGGGAAGAGAACTATTATCAAACCCATGTTGAGATAAGTTTTTAAGTGAGTGGATATAATGAAAAACAGCAAGCTTTCCATCTAAAGTAGATAACACGTATGTCTACATAAAAACTGTGTTCGTTTTTCTTAAATTTTGGGCATTCTCCCTTCATCAGGCAGTATATAGCATGTTACGTAGAAGTTAGGCTACAAAAGAGTTGTTGATGGGTTAGGATATACAAGTGTTCTAATTAGAAATATAATTAAATCTTATCAAAAACTTTTTTGTTTTCTTAAAGCTTTTTTAAATATATTTACAATAATGTTTGATGGTATTGCTTTTCACCATACTTCAGCAGCACGTCTGTAAGTAGAACATTTGTATATTCTGACCCGTCAACCACTCTTCCCTAGCCTAAACCCTCTGTAACACAGTATATAATGCCTCTAAAAGGGCATTTGCCTAAAGAAGCATCATATAAAAAAGAAAATTTTACATTTATATATGTTATCTGTTTATTTATCTGAATTGTTCTTCCTACATCTTGCAAACGTTATGAAACTGCCCATCTTGCTGGCTGCCCACTTTAGAAAATCTCTGAATACATAACAACAGAAAAGTATGAATATTGATCTGTGATTAATTATTAGTATTTCAGTGTCTTTTTATGATTCAATAGAAAATGTCAAACATTAACTTCAGGAGTGAAATGAATAGAAAATGAAAACTTTTGAAGAGTTTACTAAAAATTTTCAATGCCTCACATGTCGATCTTACTGAGAACTGCCTCACAAGCCGATTTTACTCAGAACTGCCTCACATGTTTATCCTACCTGGAACTGCCTCGCATGTCTATTCTACTTTGAGCTGCCTCACGTGCCTATCTCTCTCAGAACTGCCTCCCACGTCTAACATACCTGGATCTGCCTCACATCTCTATTCTACCTGGATCTGTTTCACATCTCTATCCTACCCAGAATTGCCTTGCATGTTTATCCTTCCCAAAACGTCCTCACATGTGTATTCTATCCAGGAAATGACCCACATGTATTTCCTACCCAGAACTGCCTCACATCTCTATCCTACCCAGAACAGCCTCACGTGTGTATCCTACCCAGAACAGGCTCACATGTGTATCCTACCCAGAACTGCCTCACATGTGTATCCTACCCAGAACTGCCTCACATGTGTATCCTACCCAGAACTGTCTCACATGTGTATCCTACCCAGAACAGCCTCACATGTGTATCCTACCCAGAACAGCCTCATATCTCTATCCTCCCCAGAACTGCCTCACATCCCTATCCTTCCCAAAACTGCCTCACATGTCTATTCTATCCAGGAACTGCCCCACATGTATATCCTACCCAGAACTACCTCATAAGTGTATCCTACCCAGAACAGGCTCACATGTGTATCCTACCCAGAACTACCTCACATGTGTATCCTACCCAGAACTACCTCACATGTGTATCCTACCCAGAACTACCTCACATGTGTATCCTACCCAGAATTACCTCACATCTCTATCCTACTCACAACTGCCTCACATGTGTATCCTACCCAGAACTACCTCAAGTGAACATTCTACCCGGAATTGCTTCACGTGTATATCCTACTTAGAACAGCCTCAAAAGACAGTTGGTTCTCAATTCATTGATACTATTCCAGGAAAATATATCTGAACTTGATTGAAACAGAACAGACTACGGCTTTAAAAGAAAGATATCAATAAACAACTTAAAATAGGTGGAAACATTAAGACACCTTATAAGTTAGAAAAGCATCTAACTAATCAATAGACCTAATCTAACAGATACACTGCCGAGTTCCATTGAGAAAGTGGAAACATAAAGTATTACAACAAAAGGCAAAAGTGTCTGAACTTCAAAGTGAAGAAACATAAAAAACACAATGAAGTGATAGATAATATCATTTTGGTTAGAGAAGGTATTATATCCACAATTGACATCAAGACAAGTAATCCAAATCCTTGAAAAAGAAAATTTAAAGGATTATCCTTGACAGCAACCTTGAAACATGGATCTACTATAAAGAAAATCTTAGTTAGATATATGTATGTTGAAATTGAAAGCTGCTAATAGTAATCAACAGTGTCAAGCTAAAACAAGACAACTTGAACTTTCCAGTCTCTCGCAACAAGTAATGATTAACATAAATGGTCAAGAACACAATTTCAGGATGCTGAAGCTAGAGATTCTAGCATTGGATGTAATGCTGATTACATAAAAAATAAACAGGAGAATGCCATCTTTAATTGAATTAGTACTAGTGTCAATAAATTTTCATAGATATGTTACAAAATATTGCACTGAAAAGAGAAAGATGTAAGAAAAGTCAGTGAAGAATTGAAATGTTATTTTTTTAAGATTGCTTAAACCACTAGAACAATTTTTCTGTACAATTTTTTAAAAGCTAAACAACCCATTTGAAAATTTTGATAAATTAAATTTTACCCCAGGAAGAATGATATCAAAATGTCACCTGCATTGAGAAAAGAAGTAATCTTCTGAACCTATATCTTAAAAAATATGTAAAGGATATCCAGAGTTCAAATGATAATGATGATATTCAATAAAAACCTACTTAATTGTACAAATAATAGACAACTCATGATGAACTGAGCTCTTGGAAGAGTTAAGGCCTTCAAAACATAGCATGTAAGGTTGCTCAGTGTAACTCACATTTAAAAAAAAAGTTTTGTACAGTAGTATGTGAAATTCTTTTTATTGTATTTTTTCCTACTGGTAAAACTAAAGATATATAATGGAATTATTCATTGATTCTTTTCTCTTATTATGTGTTTCAAGTTTAGTTTATAGGTATTCTTATGTGGTGGCCTGGCATGGCAAGATGGTTAGGGCACTCAACTCACAATCTGTGGGTTACAAGTTTGTATCCCTGTCCCACCAAACATGCCTGCCCATTATAATGTATCAGTCAATCCCACTATTCATTGGTAAAAGAGTATCTCAAGAGTTGATGGTTGGTGGTGATGCTGACTAGCTGCCTTCCCTCTAATCTTTTACTGCTAAATTAGGGATGGTTAGTGCAGATATACCTCATGTAGCTTTATGTGAAATTCAAAATAAACAGAACTGATCTTATGTGGTTTATGATTGATAATTACAGTTAGGCCTTTGCACTGAAGCTTGTTTAATATGAACCCTTGAAAGAGTGTTACTGTTTGTTTGTATAAAGAAATTTTAAGAATGGAGAATTTAGATAGAAAATCATATTAGAGGAGAACTCGGATATAACAGAAATTCATAATAGTATGCATTGAGTTTAAAGATATAAACTGTTGGGTGTAGAGACAGCTATTGAGTTTGGTGATTTAGATATTTCCAGCAAAATACATAAGGTAGACTTAGTTTATGTGTGTCTTTTTGATTTCTAATAATTGAATAGTCCTAGTGTAGAATTGTGACTGTGTTGTAACATCTCTAATTTGATGCCAAAAAGGATTAAGAGTTGGGGTCTTTGTGTGTTTGATTTAAGAGTTGTACCAGGTAATTTTATGTACTTTGATTTGATTATTTGTCAAAAATGCAAAAAATAATCTTTTCAATCTTAAAGTAATCTGGTGTAAACCCTTTTACCAGTTTTGTAAAATATAAATTTTATGAAAAAACTTACAATTTCTCTTTAAAACTGGTATGAAGGAAACATTGTTTAAAGCACAAATTTCATGATTAAAATTGTGTGTAAGTGTTATAGGTATTTATTTAGTTTAATATTTTATTTCACTGAGTGTTTGTTTTTTATTTCTTATATACATTGAAAGTTTAAAATAACTGATGTATTATTAATTATTAGCCTTAAGAATCCTCCTCTTATAATGTTCTATCATGTGGCAGATTGAATCTAGAGAAGAAGAACTTAAAGAGATAAAGCAGCAACAACACGTACTTCAGGAACAAAAACGGCTACTGATGATACAGGTAGTTCATAAAGAGCTGTTGTTAATATTTGGTGTCTGTTGACTGTACAGCTTTTGATTGTAATTATTTTATACCTTTATAAAAGATATACAGGAAAGCACTAAATGAATTTTTTAACCCTATTTGAACAACATTGGACAATTGGACTGACCCTGTATCTGTGAATATGTACATGGCATTCTTAACTATAATTTATTTATTATTTATTATACATATCTTCACAAAATTTGGTAAGCTTTTAGTAAACATTACAAATCTGCTGTACAGAAATAAAGTATTTTTTTACTAAGGTTTGTCTGAGAATATACAAAGCTTTCACTGAGTCAGTCTGAGTGAAACTTGATTTTCATGTTAAGAACAAAAATATTTTCCATCTAACAGTTTTCATATTTCATTTGCCTAACCTTTAAAGCTTCCTAAAGGAATATAAAAATTTTTTTTTTGTATAATGTTATACTTTATATTTTATTTTCTCTGCCCTAATGCCAACTGCAGCAGAAAACAATGAAATAAAATATTGAAAAGTATGGAATAAAATGATGAATTACTACAGATTGTAACAGACAATTACAATCATCAGTTCTAACACTGCCTCAGTTTTCTAAATATTTCACATCTGTTTGTTTTTTAATTTTATTACCCTATAGTGCACTTTGGATCATATTTATGCATATAATAGTCAATTTACCATGATGGGAAACTTAGTGTAAACAACAAACCAAGCTACAGTCATGTGATGCAGTTAGCTTGATCTGGGCTCATGAATTTTTTTATTCAATTATTTTTATTTATGTTTTGTTATCTATTCTAATAGATTTCTGATTTTCACATTTTAGTAACTTTTGTTAAAAAACATAATAACTAAAAAATGTACATTCAAAGAAATTTAATACTTAACCTAATCAAATAGGCCTATGTATACATAAGAATGTACTTCAGTAAGGCTACTTTTTTTTCACATTATCTTGGTAGTCCATAAAATAATTCATGTTGCCTTCAAATATTCATTTTATAAATATATCGGGCACTAGATTAGAATGTTTAAAAATTATAAAAACTTAACTGGCTCTCTAGCTAAACTATAAATAGGTTTAAAAAATTCCATTACTTCTCAGCACATTTCAAGACTTTCTTGTTTGTTACTGCCTCTGAGTGCCAAAACAAACTGTCATTAGATTCACGTGGTTCAAAAACTACTCTTTCTATTTGTTATAAACATGTTCAATAGCAGTATCAAAGAAAATTATAAAAATCTACTGAAAGTAGAGAGAGAAATATGAATATGCATTGTGTGTGTGTGACAAAAATAACAATATCTCAGTAGAATAATCCATATACAGTTCCTTGCAAAACTATTCACCCCTACAAAGTTTCCACATTTTGTTGCCATCTGAGCTTGCAATCAAAAACTTTCAAATGGGACTTTATATTTAGAATCTACACAATCTACTCCAAACTGCAAAAGGTAAAAAATGCTGATATTATGTAAGTAGATTAGATGTTCAAAGAAAATTAGAATATTCTCAGTTACATAATTATTCAACCCCTTTTCTACGGCAACCCTAAATCAGTTCAGGTACAAAAGAATAGTTTGGAAAATTACAAAAGTAGTGTAATGGTCTCTGTCTCTGTGTAATCAAAGTGGCTTAACTATATATGATGCTTTAGTCTTCAACTGCTAAATTAGGGATGGCTAATGTAGATAGTCCTCGTGTAGCTTTGCGCGAAATTAAAAATAAAACCAGCTCACTACTTGTCTTTACAAAGTATGTTCTACTTTAAAGCAATTTTTCCCATGAGAAGGTACATGTGATACCAAAGGGAATGACCCAGAACAGTAGGTAACTAGAGTGAAACAAGCATACCTATATATTTAACCAATGTTCTACTTTAACTCTTTTGCTACTGACTTGGTGGATTAAACTGACCACTTGACCCTAGAATGACCATCAGTGTTTCCATGTTATAACTTTTAATATGTTTTGTGTATATTGATGAAATATTTCAAGCTCTTAGTAAATGTTACAAGTCTTTTGTAGAAAAAATATCAAATTTTTTAATAAATATTTTTACTTAAAATTTGTCTGTTTTGACCGCTTTGAGTCCAAAGTGATTTTTATGTTAAGATTAAAGATACTTTTCAAAACCTTCTAAATAAATATTAAGTGTTTTTTTGCCAGAAAAACTTTATGGTTGGCATAAGGAAATATAAACTGAGCAATAAGACCAGAAGACATCCATATGACACAGAAAAAAACAAATTTGACATTTTTTTAAGTATTTTCTTTTGAATTAAGAAATTCAAACATAGCATTCCATAATTTGAATTAGAAACTATGTTGTGATGCCAATTTCAGTGACATATAATGATAATAAATTTGATCACTTAAATTTTGAAAATGACTGTAAAACATTGTGATGTGTCCTTTGACCTGTCTGTTAAACCTATATACACTTGTTTGCATGGTATACATGGAAATGTTAAAAATTCTATTTGAACTTTACTTGTTCACTTTACTAAATAAAAGAGGTTGAAAATACCTAGTTTGCTTGCATACTACACTGCATTATTGTTATTTTTTTCAAATTACATAAATGTGTTAAAATGCTTGATACTATGTATTTGAGCAAATTATACCAACAAAAATATTTTTTTGGAAACTGTTTAAATGTATTACATACCCTTTGTGTTAAGTATCTCAAATCGAGTGCATTTGTTACAATCACATATTTTTACAGATTATACGTAATCTATATTTTATCTTTTGTTAAACAGTTAGATAGTCGAGGGGAGAAGTTACTTGACACCCAAGAAGAAGTAATAAAACTGAGGGCTCACTTGGAAGCTCGTGTTCTAGAGGTTAGTGTAATACATTGTCTTTGAATAATTCTGTATCATTTCTTAAAATCCTTGCTGTAGCTGTTACTCTTTACCAAGATACAGTATATTTAAACACATGTTGACATCATTTTGGTACCTTTGTAGTATGCAAATACTACCTACTTCCACTCATATAGTACATATCACATATTTACAGAACTTTTAGGTTCTGCCTGAGGTGTTGCTTTTTGCAGCTTGACCAGACAAGGAACTTGTACACTGTTTAACGGAGTAGTTGTATTTTGTCCTTTGTCATACTTGACTTTACATCTGGGAGATACTTTGCAACTGTTGCTTGAAGCAGAGATGCTTCTACCTCCCAGCTGGTGCCCCATTGTCTGATTGTTATAGCGAACATATATTTTGAATGTAGTTCTACCACTTTTACAGTAAATTAAGCATTTCATGTGATTTTTGAATTCATTACTGTATCTTGTCTGATGCATTTCGTCTACAACAAATCACTGAAATAGTCCTTCCATGTATTAGATCCACAATTCACTTGATTTGCAGAGATTGAACAACTGTGAATTAAGTGTAACCTTGAACTACCACACCTTCTGAGTGGAAAATAGTTAAAAGTAGGAATCTGTTTTAATGTTTAATGATTTTTCATACACTCTGTTTTAAACTGTTTAATCTTTTTTGTTTCCAAAATATTACAAAGGTAATCAGGGTAGTCTATAATGGCTTTTAACAAATAAATAATAGTTGAACTAATTGAATATTTTTTATCAACTGCAGTTCTTGATATGTTTAGTTTCACTGATGTTTATATCATTGGAAAAAACATTTTTTCTGTCAAATACACAACAGTCTCTTTTATTTAATCACATGCTTACATACTCAAAAACTTGCTTGGTGGTTAAGGTGCTCAACTCACAATCTGCAGGTTGCAGGATCAAAACCTGTCATTGAATATGTTTGTCCTTTTAGCCATATGGGCATTATAATATGATGTTCAATTCCACTATTCAATTATTAAAAGTATTCCAAGAGTTGACAGTGGGTGATGTTGACTAGCTGCCTTTCCTCTAGCCTATCACTTTAAAATTAGGGACAGCTATTCAGATAGCTCTTGAATAGCTTTGGGTAAATTTCTACAAAAACACTAGATGTAAAACTTGAATTTAACTTATTCAAAGGAAAATCATTTAATATGTTGTCACTAGTGTATGACACACAATTTTTAAGTCAGCATGTATTTTCAACTTGACATTCAGTCTTGGTCTTGGAAATAAGCTAATGCTCCACACTGATGCTACATGTATAATCTGTATGATAAGATTACTATATACGAAGTGTGCATAAAGTGTAGATGTAGTTCGTGTGTTTTATAATCATTATCTCTGTGTAAAGAAAAATCTTAAAAAGTAGACGGAAGTTACAGAAGATGATTTATAAAACAATTTTCTTTTTTCAACTTTATGTTTAGTATTTTCTTCTTACCTGAATGTTGTTTAACTCGTCAGGTACAGCAGCAAGCTCTGACAATAACAAACCTCCAGGAAGCCATTGTCCATTCTCGGAGAACCCTTGATGGGTTGAACCAGTCAGGTACACATAATCCTTCACTTGTCAAGAGAACAGGAAATCCAACAGTACTAAACATCTGAGTGACTTCTGTCCCCTATGGTGGTTAAGAAAGTGGACAATCCAATAATACTGAACGTGAGCAGCTGCTATTACTACTTGCAAAATTTTTTTATTAAGAAGGGCACATCAGCACTGTGTATCTATTAAGAATCAGTCTTTATGTGACCTGAAGTGCAGCCTTCAGTAATACCAAGTAATGTAAGAACTTGCACAAGAACTGGTTTGTCCAAATTACTCATAAGCTAGTTGTCAGTAGAGTGTAAATCTAATGATAAAGAAAATTTAAAACAATCCTCTCAGTCTATAGGGTCAGTTCATGCTTGTAGTAACTACTTCTACTGTTAAAAACTACAAGTTTGCACATGGAATGATGTAGCAAAATGGCCTTAATTTGGTCACTACCTATAAAAGCTCTTTTTTTAACTCATAAGTACCTCTGTTGCAATCACTTTAGAAGGCTTTCAGTCAGATTGCAGTTTCCTACTAACCACCTACATTAAAACTCAAAATATTCACATTAATTTACTTCAGCATTGCAATAACCTTTTGTATTTTTTGTTTGCTGAAAATTGATATGCATCCTTTTTCAACCAAGAAAAATTGTAGTATTAGGTAAAAATTTGATAGATTTCAATATGTTTTGAAATTTCGAAAAAGAATTGAATTTGTTGTGATTAGCTAGATGACATTTACACAAGTTAGCTAATTAGTTGAAATTTTGTGAAGAGCATGTATTATATCACTTTGTTTAGAATTTTTTGAAGACTGTTGTTCTTCCTTTGTAAAGGTTTGGATTATTGATTATTAGACTATAGAATACTAATATTGGTATAAAAATATACATTGAATACATGTGTTTATAAAATGTGATATTTATTATACAGAGTACTGATATTATATTTTATTTTGAATTTGTTTTCAGCTTACATAATGGTAGCTAGACATACATGAAGATCTTGTTAATTCATTTCAAGATATTTTGTACTTTATTTTTTCAATCATCCATATTACTTTAAGGCAAAATAATTTCAAATCTAGTTCTCAACTTCAGTAAAAAAACAGATTGAAATATTTGTAATATTTTTAAGTCATACTTCTATCCAGTAGATCTTAATCTAGCCAAATTTATTAACTAATATGCAATGATTTTGTATTTTTACTTCACATAAACTCTGAATTTTAAATTTTTAAATGATTTTTAATGCATGGAGTAAATTGTAAAACTAATTTTAATTTTAGAGCCTCAGGACAAAGCTAATATTTCAAACTACAAATTTACAGAACTGGCTCCTACTCTTTTTAAAACTTTGATGTGTTTTAAATAAAATCCTACTAGTTCTGTTCACTTAATCTTTTATTACATATTTTGATTAGCACATAGTTTATAAGTGCTTAGAAGTTTAACTCCAGCATCCAATAAATAGTTTTAATCCCATTTGTTTTTATTTGTTAAATGTAGAGTTTTATATGTATTTCTGAAGAATGAAAATCAAAACACTTTTAATAATGATAAATCTGTTTCTGGAAAGTATGGGAATACAATGATAAGCCTTTTTCTAGTAAGCATTGGAATATAATGATAAATCTGTTTGTAGTAAGCATGCAAACATAATGATAAGCCTGTTTACAAAATTAATGAATATTTATTACTAACGTGGTTGTAATGAATGAAATATTTGTGAAATCTGCAGTGTCTTTGTTTTCCTCAAATCTGTAATTATGGGGTTTCATGAACTACTGACCATTTCAAGTATTAATTTGTTTCTAGTAAGCATGGGGACATAATGTGTTTCTGGGAAGAATGAAAATATAATGATACATCTGTTTCTAGTAAGCAGGGAAATATGATGATAAATCTGTTTATGGGAAACATGGGGATGTGCTGATCTGTTTCTGGGAATAGGAATTTAATTATTTACAATCATCAGATATTGTAACTAGAGATCTGTAGAAGTAGTTTTAATATCTTGCAATATTTCCAGCAAGCAGTCATAAATTTGAATTGAAAATTTAGCAATTTCTCATTTGGGTGTAATTCAAAGTGTTTTATAATTACTGAAATTAAGGGATAATTATCCAAATTCTGAGCTAAATGTTAGATAACAAAATCTAAGTATAAAGAATGTTTTATTTTAGACAATTCTCCAGATCTGTCTTATCTGTTAGCATTGGAAGTTTGTATACCCTTTGGAAAAAAGCTGATTTTCATCATTTTTGAGAGATCATTGAATTACTTTTATACATCTTTAAAAGTGAAGCAGTCCATCAGTGCCACAGGTAGATTTTTCTATACTTTGTTTTCTTAACTCAAGGGTTTGTAGTTTGAACCATCCATGAAAAATTAATATAGTGTGTAAGAATAAGATAAAAAAAAGCTAATAATACATAAGTAGGGTTTTCAGTTACAGATACTTTACTGTAACTTTGTGGTGAATGTGTTACGTGTTTAAAAAACCTGCACCAATAATACAGAGTTAAAACTCAATTTCATGTAAAGATAGCTGAACACACTTTCAATTTCAATGTTTTGCTTATATATATGTCAATAATGTAGCTCTATTTTTTAATTTTTCTTACTCTCTTATTTGTTCTTTTAGACTTGAAATAGAAGATTAACCCTTTCCTACTTGATGCAACACTACAATTAAAATGATAAACTTTTAAAGCTTAGTTGATTGCCTAGCAGTCATACTTCACATGTTATACTCAGTCTATAGTTCTTCATGAGCTTGCAACTCAGAGTCAGTCTTAAAAAGTCTAGGATCCATTTTTTCAAATTTAGCTCATTTTTAAAAGTTTTTCTAAAATAATTAAAATTTGACAGTTGTTTTGAACTTTTTGCCTACTGACTGAGTATTTCGTTTGCTTGACGCTATTTCACAAATTGATCTTGTACATTTAGACAACTGTGAAGAAAGTTTATCAAAGTTTTGGTGACACACTAAAAACTAAAAAAATGTTAAAATACAGAATTCTACATTGTATAGTTTAATAATGTATTTTTTGTGTGTGGTTAATTTCTGATACACTTTCACTATGTTTGCTTCAGGGAATTTCTAGGTAAGAGAGGAATAACTGTACCAAAAGCTGAGATTTTGTAATAAACCTTTTGTTTGTGTCTGGTCAGCAGCTGCTTATATATATTGATCTGGACAAGGAATGAAATGGGTTTGAAAAATTCCAAGATCTGTAACATATTTTTAATAATTTTTGTACTAATTGACTTTCCTCATAAGAAAGTCACAACAAGTTACTGTACCCTGCAATAACTTTGTATAAGATTTGTAAAAAAAATATAGATACTCAGTCAAGCAATAAAATCTTTTATTTTTAATGGCACTTTTCAGGAAGTATTATTTAACATAATTACAAAATTGCAACTTCTGGCATATAGTTTCAACTGAATTTTATTTTTTTATTTTTAAAGGAAAACAAGCTTCAGCCAAAATAAAAACAAATATTGTAATACCCAAATGCTTTGTTGTATAAAAGAACCCAGAAAGAGTATTGCTATTATAATATTTTTTTAATGACAAATTCATTTCATGTCTATGCACTATTAAAACCTTTTTGTTTCCTTATGGTATTTATGATAATATAGCCATTCACACATCTAGTGGTAAAATCTGTAGCATAATCACCATAACAGCAAAATATTTAGTGTTGAACACAGGTTTCCTGTATCATCCTAATATTACATGAGGATAATGTAGAGGGTGATCAGAGCTAGTACAGGTTAAACATCATGTTTGTGTAGAAACTCTTTCTATTGGTTGAAACTTTTACCTCAGCTAGCTAGTGCTTTCCTTGGTGTTCTACCTAGAACACACACATTAACTGGAATATCTTTTATATGGCACACTTTACAAAAATAGTAGTAAATAATTCTTACTTACATAGGATTTGATTTAGAAATAAATTCACTTCGAAGACTTCAGGTAACCTCTTTTAAATGGAGTAAGTTTTAGAAATTGTTTCAAGATTACAAGAAAAATTACACTTTTTTTATCCAATTCCAGAAAAAAACAAAAAGTTGTTTTAGCCATTAAACCTCAAATTACAGCTTCTTGTTTGTTTGTTTTTCAGATCATTTACTATTGGTTAAATCCACATATTGCATCATATTGAATAATTTATGTTTATGCTTGTTACAACACCCAGTATATAGAACTGACCAAAATAATTGGGTGAAATCACTAATTTTCCTTGTAAAATGTGTAGGAACTTCCCAGCTGCAATTAGCGGGATTATTTGCAAAATTGATAGTTTTCATTTTTGTATATGTGACTCATACATTATAGAAACCCTATAATTAACAAGTTCATGGACACACAAACAATCTAATGTTTCAATATTTTAGAAGTGTGTTTAAACAACTGGCTGTGTTTATACAGAACCCATCAGTAATTATAGAATTAAATATTCATTGATAAAGGAGATATAACTTAACAATTTTAAATATTTTGTTTTACATTTTTTGAATAAATCTAGAAATCTCTTTACCTAATTTTGTTGATTACAAAACTGGTATGACACTTGCTGACCAGTAGGCAAAGAGTTAATCAAATTATTGAACATTATTTACTCGCCAAATTGACTGACCATCACAGCGCTTTGTGGATGTAATCTCTTAGTTGTCATTCAGGATCTGTCTATAATTAAAAGAATACTTTAACTGATTAATCTCACAAATTACAACACTAATGGTTGGGTTTCGTTACCTGCAGTGTACAGAGCACAGATAGCTCATTGTGTAGCTTTGTACATAACAACACTCCATTAGTAAAACAAAGAAACAAACAAACAACCTGATGAAAGTCATTGAAATATTATTTCCTTTGCTAATACTTTCTTTTTTGTCTTATATCATGATTCATTTTTATAATATATAATTTTTTCTATGCCATACAAGATCACCATGACTACTCCATCAGCATTTAAAACCAAGAGGAAAGGGTTAAAGGAAAGCTTTGTTTTAATCTGCTGTTTACCTCCATAGTGTGAATGCATACAAGATGTTTTCATCATAAATAGCTTTGTAAGGAGTGAAAGAAGTGTTTAATTGATTGGCCTTAGTGGATGAAGTTATTGTAACAGGAATCTTTACATTAAGTCAACATTTAGACTTTAAGCAGATTAACATTCTTTATGAAATGAGATGAACATTCCAACCAGTCAAAAAATATAGTTGATTCCCTGTATTATGTTCAGGATTCTAGGAGTAAAAATTATCTGTGCTTTTTAATTGCAATACTTTGACAAAATGCATAATGTGTATGCCTTTTTTATATCTGTGATAATGATAATGCATGGTAGACATTCAACATATCAGTCATCTTTGTAAAATAAAATATGAAAATGAAATTATTCTGCTACTGAAGTATAGCATGTTATATATTTGGTATTTAACCTTTTTTTTTGGCTTATATTGAAAAAATTACTTTAACTCTGTTGGTTTTGACTGTTGTCTTTATCCAGTCTTGCTAAGAATAGAATAGCACTAAGTGACACTGTTATGTGTTGCTGGACAGATACTTATTTTTTGATGGAATACCAAAAGGCCAGTTTTGATGATAATATTTATTCCACACTGAAGAGTAATGATCCTGTAACAAATTGTTTTATAAATTGATACTGTGTAATTAGACATTATTCAATCACTCCAGAGAGGAAATATCTTTTAAATATGTTCTAATGTCTGCAAATATTAATTAAACTTTTCTCATTGAATATAGTGGCTTAAATACTGATGGTAAATGTTAATATGTTCATTTAGTGTAATGGCTTGATACGGATGATGAATGTCATATAATATATATATTTCCCATTTAGTGCACTGCTTTCAGTACTGGTGATGATGAATGTCATATAATATACGTATTTTCCATTTAGTGCAATTGCTTTAATATTGATGAAGATTAGCATAATATTAACATACATGTTTTCTCATTTAGTGTAGTGGTTTTAATAATGATGAATGTCATACACATATTTCCACTTTAGTGAAGTGGCTTTAGTACTGATGATGAACATAATACACTAAACACTTCCCTTTTAGTGCAGTGGCTTCAATACCGACAATAAATGCCATATACACATATCCAGTTTCATCATTGGCTTACAGACGGATGATAATTATCACATAATAAAGATATTTCCAACTTTGTGCAATAGTTTCAGTACTGATGATGAATGTTATATACATGTTTCCAACTTTGTGCAATAGTTTCAGTACTGATGATGAATGTTATATATATGTTTCCAACTTTGTGCAATGGTTTCAGTACTGATGATGAATGCTATATACATGTTTCCAACTTTGTGCAATGGTTTCAGTACTGATGATGAATGTTATATACATGTTTCCAACTTTGTGCAATGGTGTCAGTGCTGATGATGAATGCTATATACATGTTTCCAACTTTGTGCAATGGTTTCAGTACTGATGATGAATGCTATATACATGTTTCCAACTTTGTTCAATGGTTTCAGTACTAATGAAGAATGTCGTATAACATACATATTTCCAACTTTGTTCAATGGTTTCAGTACTAATGAAGAATGTCGTATAACATACATATTTTCTTACTTTGTATAATGACTTTGATACTGATTATAGTTGCCATCACATTCACACAATATTGCACTGTCTTGGAGATGTTTTTACATACTGTATTATTAGTATATAGATAAATTTACAGACAAACATTTTTGTTGGTTCCCAACATGCTCTTCATAAAATAAGTAATATTTAAAACAGTTTGTTGAAAACAAAGGAAACATTTGTCATCTTGAAAGGTTTTGTTTGCTTTTTCTTTTGAAAATCTTAATTATGTTTCTTAGCAGACTGCCATGATGTAACTTAATTACATTAATGTAGGTAATATAACATATTAGAATGGCTAAACTTATTTGTAAATATATATTGCAAAATTTATGTAACAATGGTACTGTTTTAGTAATCAAACAGTTCTTTTAGAAATATTCCATCAAACAACTAGATTTTAAAACACTTTGGACATTGATTATAATAATGCTGTTAGGTAATCAGTAATATAGTATTTTCATTTTAATATCCTTTTCATTCAAATTAACTTTACATCAGTGTCATTCACATTAAGTTGTAATAGCTTTAAAATTTTTTCTACATAGTTTTTTTAATATTTTACTTAGCTATTCTGAATCAGGATGTATTATCTTGTAATTTTTTGATGCACTCTATACTTACTAGTCATTTTCCAGTACTGCTTAATAATTCGAAAAGGTTAATATTTGAAATTTTGGAGGTATCCTATATATATTTGAAAATATTGAAGTATAGAACACTCAAAACTTGGATATAAAAGACAAAATACACACACCAACGTGTCACCAAAATTAACCTGACATAATCAAAGATGGGTTGATTCTGGTGGAATGTCGAAATATGTGCATGTATTTTCTTTCATACCCCATTTTTAGCTGTTTTATATCTTATTAATTCTAAAGAATCATTTGTAGCGTTGCTTCTACTTTTATAGTTCTCAAGACTTTTTTTTTGCATGAAGTCGTTCAGCTTGTTCTTATACAGCTGTTATCCAAGTATGAAACTTAAAACATGGGGAATATGTATGTTGTTCAAGGCTGGAATCATGTTGACAGCATTATCCTAGTTTCTGTAAACCTAGATCAGCCATAATTATATATATATAGATATGTAACTGACTATTGTAAAAGATCTCAAAAATTGGTATTTTATTAAAGGAAGCTGCAAGATTTCTAGGTTCCAGATTTTTGTACTCTTCTATCAGTAAGTAATTCAATTTTTATGGTGTAAGCTCCTTTTACAAACTGTAAAGCATGATTATAATTCACACCATAACAATTGTTATTGTAGCAAATGACTTATATAAACAGTGTTCTGATACGGTACGTTACCTCTTCTCACACGTAGAGCTATTCTTATTCAGTGCTGCCCTTTATATACAAAAATTGTTTTGCATGCCACAAGCCTTGAACCCCACGATCAACATGATTCAACTGCTTATCACATGCAAATCATCATGGGACAACCCTCCACCAATAGGCATGTGACACACCTTCCTGACACATGTGACTCCCTCTATTTGATTTTACCGAACTATCACTTCTCGTTAAGTAGTGATCTAGTGTAGATGTTTTTCGATTGTGCTCTCTTCATGTGTTTTCTTTAATATTTTTGCAATGTAGAGATTTCATTTATATACTTTACTACAGTTTGTTTTTTGTAGTTTTGACATGATAACTTGCCTCTATTTGTTCTTTTTTTTTTAATTCTTCACCATTTACGATGAATTCTGAAGTTCATGTTACCAC